GATGAACTCTCTTTGAAGAGTACGATAGAAGGATGTTGTGCCAACTACTAGTGACGCTATGGTAGACAATATACGTTGACAACCTGGTAATCCACCGAGCTGTTACCGCGGCAATCATTCGATCAGTATTATGCTACAGAGCAGAATCATGGACGCCACTCGAAAAGGACAAAACCAAACTGCAAATCTTCGAGAAAAAGATTCTAAGAAAAGTCCTGGGAGCAATAAAAGATAATGACGAATGGCATATAAGATGAAACCATGAGCTAGAACAACTTATAAAAGGTGAAAATGTTATAAGCCTTATCTAAGTCGAGCGACCAAGATGACTCGGACATGTAAAGAGAATAGACAACAAGAGAGCGCAGAAGAAAGTTGAAAGCTGTAGATGCCACATCATTTACCACTAAAGTAAGGGGAATACCACGATCAAGATGGATTAACTCAACTAATCGAACTCGAGTAAGACATGAAGGAGCTGGGCATAAAAAATTGGAAAGAAACCGTCTGGAGGAACAAAATGTCTGGAGGTCACATGTGCAGCAGACCGGAGCTCACAAGGAGCTATAGCCGACAGCTGATGATGCTTTGAGCAATATTTTATACCGTCACAACAAAGGTATAGGATAGGATCATACCTTCACCTACCCGTATTAATATAACATGAATCAGCAGACGAATGAATGAAAGATCACGTTTAAATCGTTCAATATCACTTCTAGTTAAAATTTACAGTTTTGTTTCGGTATTGGTCAGTGACAACTATCTCATACTATATAGGTATTAACCTATAGTTTATAACAAGAAAAATATATAAACTTTTTTTTAAAATATTGCAGAGTCTTTTAGTCATTTTAAATGAGTTTTCGACACACCAAAGACGAGTTTGCATTTTTGCTATTATATCTACCTTTTCAAATTCGATTCACTCAAATTATATTTTTGTCAATGACTGCATTGTTAATAATAATAATTTAAACAAAATATATTTTTAATTAAAGCTGCAAGCTGGTTTTTGCTTTTCAAAATGTCGTTCTATAAATTTTGGCTCATTTAACAGATCATCAACGAAGATACGCCTACACACTTGCTGCTGTCAGCGCGTTGCACAAATTAATGATTTAGTTGTTAGCTATACATTTTTTTCTTTATTAGACGCCAAAATGCAGCGCCTTTCAACTTCTTTTATTTTTTATTTCTTTTTATTATATTTTCTTTATTTTTTTCTTAAATTTTTACTGTTATGTGCGCTAACGAGCTCAATAATACTACTATAGCGTCTGATTTACCAAAAAAATGCATAAATAGCTGAAAATTCGTTTTCTGTTTTATGCGCTTGCGCTTTCGACTCATTTCATTGCCGGTCTGACACCTCACTCTGCGCATGCGCGTCCGCCTTTGCACCTTTCTTGTTCGTTTGTGTTTAATTTTATAGCCGATTTTATTAATTAAAAATACATTGTCGTCTACATTTGTGTTGTTTGTTTTGTTTTGAGTTGCTTGTATGGCGTTGTTGTTGTTTTTTCCACTTTACTTTTTTGTTTGGCTGTTAAATCGTTTTCATACTTAATTTAGAGAACATGGTTTTTTTTTGGAACGCACGACTCGAACGATTTCTTAATGAAATGTGTAGGAAGGCATGAAATTGAAATATTTTAAAACCGTTTTAATTTCGGTGTTGTTTTAATTTATTTACCTTTTTTGGTTTTGTTTGGTGGAAGCCGAGTGTTGGATAAAGTCAACTGATCGTTGATGCTAATCGCACGCAGATTATCTTATTAACGCTGAGATTTTACAGCTTTTAGCTGCTTGTATTTTCCCCTTCTTTTCTTTTAAATTCTTGTTTTACCATATGAGCTTTTTTTATTGTTGTTGTTCTTGTTTGATTTTAATTTTTTGTTATATATTGCATTATCATCATTTGGTTGTTACGTGATGATAAAGTTTTTAGTGCCACTTTAATGTGTTAACATGGACTTGGACGCTTGTAATCGTGAAATGGGTCAAAACGAGCATGAATTTCAAACCGAAAACCAAGAGAAATTAAACAGCAAACATAGAAGTGACATTTCAATGCATTTAAATTCACCTGATTATGTTTACGGTGCATGTTTTCAAATTTTCACTTATCACTTTTAATTTTGTCATGAAGAAACATCACGTTATATGTTTGTTTTTGGAATTTCCCTAATTTTTAATTAAATTTTATTTTAAGCTCCTTAATTATTAAGACACTACGTTAGTTTTGTGTGAAATATTTTTTATTACTGCGTATTGATATTTTTTATATATTTAATGAAGCACGTGAGAGTAAATAGGTTAGATTAGTCTGGCCGGCTTGTGAGCCACGCATAGACCAGTTTTGGTGCTTAGTAAAGCCAGATGAAGTGCCGTTATGTAATTTATAAGAAATAGTCGTCTTTTAGGATGTTAACTAAAATATAATAGGTTTTGCGGCCTCACTATCGACACCTCTTCCAGTGTTTCATACCCAAATATAGCATTGCTTTGCTAGTGCGGGACAAGTGCACAAGATATGCTCCATTGTTTCCCTGGTGTATTGCTCTTGAAGCTTCCTGCAATCCTTTCGATCTGTCAACCTCATTCGACAGGCTTGTGCCGCCACTAGAATATGACCATTGAGTATTCCAACTATGTTTCTACAGTCTCTTCTATCGAGATTGAGCAGGAACTTTGTGTGTTTTCGATTTGCCGCTTTGCAGTTTTGCGTCCTGATCGATCATTCCATCGAATTTTAATCTCTTCATAGGTTTACCAATGTTGGTGACGTTATTGGATGCCAGCTGTACATAACACCTGGCAATAGCGGCCACTATCTCATTCCCAACGTCCCCAACGGGGTTAGTTCTTGGTGACACTCTCCACTGCTGCAGTGCTTCCCAGCTAACATACTTTTACCATCTTTTTCCACGTTTACTACGAACCTTTTTTCACAGTTGAAATGTGAAATCATGTAGTCGGTAAAAAATTCTCCTGCAGCCAGTGGTCGCCTCGCTATTTTTTTGGCGCAACTTTCAGCGAAGAGGTCTATAGGTGGCGGGTTTAGCACTGTTTCAAGAAACTCCATTTGAGTGGTTATTTTCCATTGGCTTTCGGTAGATGGATATCAGTACGCCTGCCAGCTACCATCCTACTGCACCGTAGAGCAGAATTGGTCCTACAATACTTGTAGTTCTGTAGCACCAGTGCATGAGAGAGGGAGAAAGCCCGCAAAATGTGCCGAGGGTAAGAGTATATATACATACAAGTACAAGTATATTGGTTCACTTGGGCGGTGGAGTTATGGCTGCTTCTAACACTATAACCTCCAGCTCGGTTGAAAAGAATAAATGAAATCATTTTCTCGAAGTCTGAGGTTAGTAAAATGTCGCAGGAATTCAAGATTTTGGGATACTGTCGATGCTTAAGCAATTTAAAACCTTACTGACACCACCTGAACAGTCTTATTTCATTTTTACACTTTGTGAAAGACTCACGCGTCACCAAGTTTGCAGAGACTTTTTGTTTACTCAAACATTCATTAACAATATGCTCAAATGATTCCCTTGATATAGTCTTAGTGTTACTATCCCGCTCTCTATGTTATAGTCATTTAAAAAACATTTCCAGGAGTTTTTATCGGCCTTTTTTGTACCAACGATGGTCCAAAACTACTCTTTGCACTGGATTTAAATAACCATTTATTTTTGGTTACTTTGTCTGAAGCAAAGCTTTATAACATTCGTCAAGCATTCTTTTTCGTATCAGCAGTACTTTTTTCTCTCATTCAAATATTTTGTGTTATCTAAACTTACACTGACTATGAAGCTGGAAAAAGAACTGAGAATCGACAAAGCGCATTGTACTCAAGACAAATATGCTTAGCCGTTTAACTTCTGTTCCCGCAAGCTCAGCTGGATGTTTTAAAGTGTGGATTTTAAGATGTTTAAGTAATGATGTAGCAAATTTGGCGCAATTCAGAAGAAGGTGTTAAGATGTTACTGTCTCCTCTTTCCTCAAGTAGCTTCATCAAGTGGATTCCGGTAAGAATTTTAAGCTGCGATATACAATACTTTCGAACAGAAGGATCTCGCACAGGCACCTCTAGTTGACAAACCCTCGCCCTCCTAGGCCCAGTTGCCCAATAGTAACTGGCAAGAAGACAGCGGAGTTGCGATTCTTCCCACTCCACCGACAGTAGCTCACCAGATGTAGCAACTGCCATTATAGTGAGGTTAGGCATTCTGTAACCAATCTCGAGCCCACGGTCATTGAGTTCAAGGCTACTGTAAGGGCTTCAGTAGTCAATAAGCTTGAAATTGATATTGATGAATATCTGCCGACAGTAGACGCCTTCACTAAGTTTCTCCCCAAGCCTTGACTCATTCGCGAAGTAGCTCACTATTCCTCGACTTCAGCGGGTTCTCCCCACCCACAAGTGCCTCGCAGTTATGATGGCAGGGAAAAGAAAGCTGGAGCTTGGCTTCTGTGAGCTCACTTTCGACCTTTTCAATAATCACATACACTCCTAAGTGCTTTCACTTGACCAAACGGTTTTTTATTTTAATGACTAGACCAGCCTGATTCTCTCTGCGGTTTCATTCAAATATTTCACTAATTGCCGCTGTTCATCAGTTAATATTTTTTAGCAATTAGCCGTTTGTTAAGAACTGGTTTTGAATTGTCACAATTCCATTAAGCAAATATGAATTAATTAATTCAAAGCAACGAAAATTTCTACGATTGCCATATTTAAGTGATGCCATAATTGGATCACTTAAGTTTCGCAATGACTCGAAATAATTTCTAAACGGCAAAACTCAACTAATTAGGAAGACAATGCAAAATATATTTTACTTAATACAGAAAACATAGTAAAAAAATAAAATAAAAATAATAAAACAAAAAAAATTTTATAACAAAAAAATTCAACCAAAATATTTCAAACCAAAAATAATCATTAAATCTAAAATCATTTATATTTCTGTACGCTTACTCACCTGGTAAAAACATCGGGGTAGTGTGTGCGCGAGAAGGCCTTCTCCAACTCTTCCAATTGAAAACTGGTGAATGTGGTGCGATAGCGACGCTGTTTACGTTTCGGCGCATAATCGTCCAAATCGCCATCGCTATTCGTATCCGAAATGGGACTATTCGTGCCGCCGCTAACACCGGTCGTCACAATGCACGAGGCCGAACGGTCAGGCATGGCATCCTGATGTGCTAATTTGGCTTCTTGCGGTAGGTCGTCCAGCTTGACGTCCTCGGATATGCCCATAATCCAAATGGGCGCAATGTTGATAATGTAAGCGGGCGTAACGGGGCGTGGCAAAGAAATTTAGAGTGTTAAGAAATGGATCTCGCAAATTTTGCTGCAGAGGTTTTAAAACTGTTTTTGAGGATATTATTATTTTTTCTGTGTTAAATATTCGCGTTTAAGCTGCGGTCAAACAAATCACTTTCTGATTTTGTTTTGCTTTTGTCTTAGTGGTTCCTTTTCCGAAAATCTGCAAATAGAAATGAAAGCAAATACTTGAGTGCATTAGTGACATACTTGTGTACTTATAAGCTTCTGCAGTTTTATGGTAGCAAAATTAAGCCTGAATTTTTCATGCACGTGCATTAATGTCCGGCAGGCACATGTTGATAGCGCAGTGAGGTTATGCGCATGCGTAATGCGCAATAGAACTCATCACCATAAATAAGTTGGGTTTCAACGGAAACGTGTGGACATAACATAGTTACAACTTAATTGAAAATCCAATCGCCTTATTGATACCTAAGTGGACATATGCGCTGCTATGCTCTCCCGTCTTGTACTCTAGTTTGTAAGCGTGCGCGTTGTAGCTGCCGCGCAGCATATAGGCTATTTACTGACGCGCAGCGTTGCATGGCATTGGTCCAACAACTTAATTAGTTCACTAATTCATGACAAGTGAGGAGGCATCAACTAATTTGTTGCGAGGCACTTGGTGCGCGCAGTGCACTTTACAAGCGAATTCGCGGCATTGGTCACGCTTGCCAATTGCATACGTAAGTGCGCAAATAAATACGCATTACACAAACACTCACATGCATACATAAATACATACAGGTGCAGAGGCATTGCTGCAGCGCGGCACAAGTGCATGCAATTTCGAGTGCAGTGCGCGGTTTACGCATGCGCAGCTGCTGTTTGCGCCTTTTGTATATTTACGCATATATTTACTGCCTTTACTTGCTGTGCTTCAGCAGTGATCAATTGCGCTGCTTTTTTGCGTGTTGTTGTTGCATTTTTTGTCGCTCTTTCACTCTCCCACCAAATAAGGACATTTCTCCCTTTGCTATTTTAAGGGAAAATTAAAGATGCGTGCGGAAAATACCAAAAGCATTTAATGAAATTCCTGCTAAAATGGCTGGAAGGCGGAAAATGTCAGTATTCAATTCGCCGTGCCTGTGCTGGCGTAGTTTTTATAGTTGACGGGCGGGAGTATACGATTATAGTATATAAGCTGGTAGACTTTAGTTGTTGGTAGCATAGATCATTGCCGATTTGGTAGCTGACCATAGCATATATTAAATTAACGCAATTACGATTGTGTCTAGGGACCTGAACAGTGATGCAATTTCAGCATAGCAGTAAGGAAATATTACTTTGACTATAAATATTTCTGTAGTTATGAATGTGGCTCTCGCAAATTGGAACTAGCTGTACTCATAGTTTCCAGTTTTTTCTCAGTAAAGGCGAAAATGCAAGTCAATTTTGATGTATAGATGCCACACGAGTTAATAAAATCTCTTGGACCGAATTTTTATCTGCGAATCGCTTCTGAATCGGAGCAAAATCGATCAAATTCTAAGGCGTATTGTTATTAGTTACTTATGACAATGTCAAGCGAAATCGATCATGGATTGACTACCAGAAAGGTTTTGTTATGTGTTTGGTATAATTGGCAGGGTATCATCTATTAAGAGCTACTCTTTCACGGCCAAACTCATAATGTAGACTTGTACTGTCAACAATTGAACTGAATTGGGACTGAAGGAAGCAATCGCCCAGACACTGTAAGCTTTGGTCTATAGAAAAGGCATTGTGTTACATAAGGACAACTCCAGGCCACACACATCGATACTGACTCGCTAAAAGCTCCGGGAGCTTGATTAGGAGGTATAATGTATATCTACTTTACTTGTATAGTTCGGGCTTGGCATTAATTGATTACTACCTGTTCCTGCCTGCGACTGTCTCAGCCAATAAGGACGAATATTTTTATGAGAGAAACATGATGAAATGATCTTTCAAATGTCAACAGTTTGTGGAACAAAACGTTGCATATTTGACCTCAGTCGGATTATTCTGACTGTCTACATAAAATCTTCAATGTAATATAAATAATATATTAATTTTTATTAAACCCAATACTTAGATATCATTATCAACTGTTATTTAGATACTAATCAATAATTTTTTTTTTCGTCAATTTTCTCTGCATATTAGGAATATTTTCTCTTGGATTTAAGCTTAAAGCTTAAAATTCACACCATAGTGGGCTCTAAGAAAGAAACATGAATACGGATTTATAACCCCTAAGGACCCAAGCAAGTTATTAAGATAACGTTCTATATTTCTACAACAAAAATAACATCTAACTAACAGACTATCTTTTCCAAAGGTGTGACAGTGAGTATTCTTAAATTATTGGTTTGAGAAAAAGTCCTTTACGGACCTTCACATCTATTTATTGGTATGTTTCGCTCAATGTTAAGAACTACAATTTGAAAATCCTTTTGAGAAGCATTTTCGCTTAAAATTATATTTGATAACGATCGTAAGTGTTGACTTGATAAAACTCAGCAATTGACAACTTCCGCTGAGCTTTCATTCAATAAAGCTTGGACAGGTGGAGCTTTGACTGCAACGAAATATATATTACTTTCACATACAAAAATATATATATTTATACATTACTTGTGTTGGCAAATGTGTTACATTATTATCTTAGGACTTTTTATTTAAAAGAGAAGAATTTGTACGACATTATTTTTTAACACTATAACGAGGTTAGATTTAGAACTCATTCCTCAGTAATAGTGAGTCTCTAAAAAAGAACTTAATAATACAACTATTGTAACAGCTTTTAAAAATAATCAAAAGTATCTCTTTTCTTCCTGGAATATTTTTTTGTGATATATCTTTTGAATCCGATAACCGCTAACCTACCTAAAGCGTTGGTTGCTTTTTTGCTATCTGTGCTTTTAAAAGAAGTATAAGGGAACTCACTTAGATACACCCCAAATACATAAGACTACTTATTTATAGTTGCTGGCATACTTTTACTGGATACTATAACAAGATTTTGCATTGCGGATGAGCACTGAAGCCGGTATTCGAAAACGTAGATAGCAACCTTCGCTTTATATTTCTGAAAATCATTCTTTAAATTATTTGGTTGTATTATACATAAACTGCAATATAAAGAAATGGAAAACAATGGCGATCTGTGATTGCTATCCGATAGCCATAATTTATATTTTGCTATGCAGTTGCCTTTCGGCTACTGAACTCGCGTTAGTATTATACAAGTATATACATGCAATAGAGGTTTTAATGTAAGTAAATCACTATTGAATTCGCCTTAAAAGTGTAATTTTTATCGGTTAATCTATAAAAGAAATTGGAGACTTGTTTTTAGCGTAGCATCTTTTATCGATTTCCCAGCAACCAAAATATTAAAGAAATGTTATACAAATATGTATATAGCACAGTATCCCCGCTTTGAATTCATTCCAAGTCTTAGTATTATTAAATTGATGCCAGATAAATCAGTTATACCGTTAGTTTTTAATTTAATATATAAACGCTGATTTATTGAAGCTTTGTTTGGAAATGCTAAATATAGAAGTTTCCCTATGCCAGCATTCCCCACATTTGGTTACTTTATTGGGAGATTCATTAACTAACACTTAAAATGGCATTTGAGGCTTTTGATGCTAAAACATAACCTATCCCACCCAAATGGTAACCTCACTTTCACCCGGTCGCCTTCGTTTTCTAAGAACTAATCTCTGACGATTGAGCAACAGCGCTATAACCTTATCACCAGTGAGGAAGAAACTTCCATGCTTCTGCCAGTTCGGAACAACAATCGGAATCCCCGAAACTAGGTCCGGATGCAGAAGAACAATAGCCTACTCATCTTAAACCTCTGGATTATCGAAACCGAAATGGGTTCTATAATCCACCTAGGCACTATGGAGAAATATATAAATGAATATACAAAATTTTCATTTGGACACTCTTACATATATGATATATTACTATTGTTTAGTAAATATTTGAACCGATTAGGTTTCTAATACTATAGAAAACGGTACAAAATATTATTGCTGCACTGTAAAAGTTTGCGAATTTCAGAAACCACAACGACGCATGGGCACACGCCCGATGCCATTTTCGTCGAACAGCAAAGCGATTCAGTAGCAGACATTCAAATAGAGCGCTTGACAGCAGACAGTGGGCGCGCGTGGAACTCTTGTGGCATCTGTCGATGCTTTTGGTTAATGTTTATGCAATTCATGGCTTTTATGTCGAACTTACTGAGCATACATACATATTTATTTAATTCATTTAGTTTCCTATTTTTGTTTTGTTTTTGGTGGCTTGTCTGTCTGTACGCCTGCTATGACATAGTGTTGCAGCTGTAAAGGTAATTAACTTGTTGCGATAATTGCCCAGCATTTGCACTTTTGGCACAAAAACTACAAAACAACTGTTGTTGCGGCCGTCGTCAACAGCGAAGCGAGCAACCCGCGAGTGGCGTGCCAAAAGTCGAGTTGTTGGCGGCGGCGGTGGATGAGCTTGTTCAAAAAAAAAAAAATCCAAAAAAAAAACACAGAAATACTGCTGTTGTAAATGTAATTGTAAAGATAACATTTGCTTAAAGCAGGCACAGTAAATTAAAAAGTGGGTTCAATTTAAGTAGTCTTTCCGTGCCGAGCTTATGTAAAATAAGTAAAAACATAAAAAAGTATTAACAACAAAAACAAAAATAGCCAAAAAAAAGTTGTTAATTTGAAATAAAATATATTTTATAAAATATAATTGGAAATTACACGCGCATGCGCATGTGCACTAGCCAACCAATTCAAGCTGCGCATACGCCAGTTATTTTTATTTTTGTTGTTGTTTTTATACACATCGCCATACAATTAAGCAGCGAAAAAATGCGTAAATTTTGTTGCATAAATTTACTAAATTTATACAACAGCACAGCCCACTTAGTGCCGCACTCAGCTCGGGGGCGCAGCATAGCGCTCTCCACACAGCCTGCAGCAGTCTGCTATTCACGCTTGACTCTTGTAAGTTTTGCCCTGCCGCCAGAGTGTAGTCGCAGCGTTGCATCTCTCATGTAAAACAGTAGCTCTGCTCTTAATTACTGTTGGAATGTGCCACCGTTATTGAGGCAGCACTTTCTGGCTGTATACTTGTCTGTCTGTCTGTCCGTGCTGTCTGGTGGCTGCAATAATT